ATTTTACAGAAGAGTGAGCACTTATGACCAAGTCAGGAATCCAGGTCTCTGATGCCAAGCTGTGTACTCTTAACCACTAGGATTCCTGGGTCATTTATTCATTTAAAGCTGAGATCTATTTCTACCACACCATTACAGAGGTAACAATGGTACAATAAATACCTATACAATGCAAAATTTAAAAAGAGAAAGGACAGGGGGCTTCCCTGGTGGCACAGTGGTTGAGAATCCACCTGTCAATGCAGGGGACACGGGTTCGAGCCCTGGTCCCGGAAGATCCCACATGCCGCGGAGCAGCTAAGCCCGGGTGCCACAACTACTGAGCCTGCACTCTACAGCCCGCGAGCCACAACTACTGAAGCCCGCATGCCTAGAGCCCGTGCTCCACAACAAGAGAAGCCACCACAATGAGAAGCCTGTGAGCCGCAGCAAAGAGTAGTCCCTGCTCGCTGCAACTAGAGAAAGCCCATGCACAACAAAGAAGACCCAACACAGCCAAAAAATAATAAATAAATAAATAAATTTATTAAAAAAGAGAGAAAGGACATACTATGAATATCCACATTTTTACTACTGAGTTATGCATATTATTTAATATAACTTTTTAATATAAAGTTATATTTGTACTCAAAAGAATCAGCAATGGTCAAAGCAAATCCTAATGTTCTTGGAAAGAATGAGCACTGCACCAATGCCCAGCGGCTGCATGTACCAACTGATGAGACAACCCCATTCTCTAGGATGGACAAGAGGCAAGACCATCCGAGAAGTAACCAACCAACCAACCAACCAACCAAACAGACAAAACCAGCAGGGGAAAGATTATAAGTCAACAGGAGAAAACTGGAGTCCGATCTGAACAGAGTATTCCAGTTTTGTGGGAATTTAGGAAACATATTGACTCTATCTTTTCTCCTCTTCATGGTTGTAAATTTTAATCACTGTAATTGGTAACAATTTCCTCTTCGCCCTTTGGCTCAAAAGCCTCTTAAACTTTTGAAGTACTTGGGCCAGTCCATTCATTCATCCAAAGTATGCTGAGTGTCTCTAAGGAACTATATGAGATACAAAAGAAGCACAAAATGGGCTTTTTCTCCTTAGGGAGGAAAGATGCCCAATACAGAACCCTAGTGATTGCAAAATAAGAGCCAGAGTGCTGTGTCCCTGTAATGGGCTAATGGAATTCACAAAAACGAGGCTGGACTCAAAGATGAGTCTGGAGCTGGGCTTTGCAGTCAAGGCCAGGCTGGCAGCAACTGGAGTGAGCCCGGTGGGATTGTGGTGCAAGGGAATGGAAACTAGGAGCTGGAAACTAGGACCAGAGCAAAGGTGGAGATGAAGCCAAGTGGGAGAGGCAGACAGTGTCTGGCCAGCCCCATCAGCCCAGCAGGGGTTCTTGGTCCTGGAGAGAATGGTCATGTTAGGAGTCAGCCCAGAAGTTCCCAGTCTTTCGCCACAGCCCTTCTCCCCCATCCATCTCACTGCTCTCTCTTGGGTGGCTGCCAGCCCTGGCCACCCTTGACCTAGGCCCAAGAAGGGTGCTTGCTAGGGCTGATGGAAGTGATGACAGAGCTCAAGTGGGCAGGCTTTGGGCCTAATCGCCGTGGGAGGCGAGAGTGACAGGACGCCACAGGGATTGTGTGTAAGGGTACCAAGGAGAAGGTGGGCAGGTGTCAGCTAGCACAGGTTCCTGGGCCATCTGTGACTGCCAGCTCTGTCTATCCATCTGTGCCTAGGACGATAATTGGCTGTGCTTAAACAGAAAAGCAGAAAAACAGAACTGAGTTTGCCTGAGCTAGCACCTTCCACTCATATATCTTCAAATGTCACATATAAATACCAATAAGGTAAGAGAAGGGCATGCTTTACAAGCCTAGGAAAGGCACACATTGGCATCTACCTAAGAAACCAATAAAACGTGGTGATGTATGTCTAGGAGAGGTCAGAGTTAAATTCTCTGTTTAATTCTCAGTTAATCTCTAATATTCTTACTACTATTAATATTTCTCTCCTACACTTAAGGTGAAGTGGCCAACAGGGCTAAGCATGGCCCGTGGGTCACAGCTGGAAAATATTATGCCAAGCACTTTTGGATGAACTGACAAGCATTTATAGCCATTTTCCGGAGTGTGGTACGGGATCTGCTGCGTCAGAATCCTGGGGCTTGGTAGCGTGGTTTATGAAAATGTAGACACTTGAGTTCCACCCCAACTCTATTCTCTACTTTCTGGTGCTGAAGCCCAGGAAGCCCCATTTTAACCAGTGCTCCAGGTGATTCTTATGCACACAGACGTTTAAGAACCACCGTTAGAGGCTCATGCTTTAGGAGTTGGGAAACTTACTAATATCACAAAGCCATCAGGTCTCATCATCATTAATTTTTAATGATAGAAAGGGAGCATTTAAGTTAAGGTTTTGATAGCACTAAATAGGACAGAGTGGCTTACACTGAAAACCAGAAAACTCATTCAAAAATAACCTTGTCTAATAAATTGAATGCAATAGACTAAAGCCAAGTGACTTCGCAGAAAGACCTGTTGAAGCATTACAGGGACGCTCAAGATGAGTCATAATCTAAACACTGATGATACCTTTCATCCTAAGCCTTTCCTAGTCTCAGTCAAAATGTAAGAAAGAAGAGAAAACCGCCTGAGGGGTGCGGGTGTCATTTGTTATCTGTGTCGTGTCCACCCCCCACCCCGCCCCCCGCCATCACCAGAGGCACTCCACAGAGCAGCTGTCTGCGCTTCCGCCCAATATCCTTAGCCTTAGAGGAACTTAAAACTCTAAAACTTTTAGGGAGTTCCCTGGAAGGCTAGTGGTTAGGACTCAGCACTTTCACTGTCATGGCCCAGGTTCAATCCCTGGTCAGGGAACTAAGATCCTGAAAGCCATGGGAAACAAAACAAAACAAACAAACAAACAAAAACCTAAAACTTTTAGGAAAAAATTAGAAAAAAATTTCAGGATACGGGATTAGGCAAAGAGTTCTTAGACTTAACACCAAAAGCACAGTCCATAAATGGAAAAACTGATAAATATAACTTCATCAAAATTAAAAACTTTTGTTCTGTGAAAGACCCCATTAGGAGGATGAAAAGATAAGCCACAGAGTCGGAGAAAATATTTGTAAACCACATATCCAACAAAGGACTAATATTTAAAGAGCTCTCAAAACTCAACTACCAAAAGTAATCTATTTGGAAAATAGACAAGAGACGTGAACAGGTATTTCATGGAAGACAGTTTACTGATGGCAAATAAGTTCATCATCATTAGCCATTAGCGAAATGCATTAAAACTGTAACGAGATATCACCACACATCTATTAGAACAGCTAAAATAAAAATTAGTGACGATACAAAATGTTGGTAAGGATGCAGAAAAACTGGATCTCTCATCACTACATTGCTGTTGGGAATGTAAAGTGGTACAGCCACTCAGGAAAACAATCAGCAGTTTCTTTAAAAACTATGCAATTATGATACAACCCAGCAATTTCACTCCTGAGCATTTATCGTAAAGAAATTAATACTAACCTTCACACAAAAAACTGTACATGAATGTTTATAGCAGCTTTATTCATAATAGCCAAAAGCTTGAAACAGCCCAGATGTCCTCCAATGGGTGAATAATTGAAGAAACTGTGGTACCTCCGTACCACGGAAATACTGCTCAGTAATACAAAAGAATGATCTATTAATAGACACAAGAATCTGGATGAATCTCCAAAGCAATATGATGAGTAAAAAAAGACCAACACAAAAGGTTACATATTATATGATTCAACTTATATAACATTCTTGAAATGAAAAGAAATGGGGAACAGATTAGTGGTTGCCAAAGGTGAGGGAAGAGATGAAGGTGTGGTTGCCAAGGGTTAGGGAAGGGATGAAGGTGGAAGCAAGTGGATGTGACTATGAAAGGACAACATGAGGGATCCTCTTGGTTACGTTCTGCATCTTTACTATATAAATGCCAATATCCAGTTTTGATATTGTATTATAGTTTTCCAAGACGTTACTTTGGAGCAAACTGGGTATAATGTTCGAGGGATCTCTCTGTATTATTTCTTACAACTGCATGTTAATCTACAATTATTTTTTTTAAATTGTAAATAAAGAAATGTAATATTAGTATTACATGATCTTTTTGGTAGCTTCTCCACTCTATTCTATTTTAAGCTTCCATTCAGCCAGATGGCAGCAATTAGATCTCAGGCAACTGAGGGTCTCCCTACTTCCTTATATCTAAGTTTCAGGGAGCGTAACACGATGTCAGTCTTGTGCTTGGTGTCATCATCTAGGCTGGTGTCCACCCAGAGTAGTTTACAGCCATCTGTCCACCTGACACTGTTGTATCCTCTTCACCTTCGGGGCTATACTTCCACCCAGGTACTCTGATAGTTCTTCCTCTCAACTGGAAGCAGGAAAACTTCAGAGACTGCCTCTGGTCTTTTTACCAGATACACTCAATGGGCATTCTTACTCCTCAAGCCCACAGGGTGGAGGGACTTGAGGATTATCTTGGGTACTGGGGTCACAGGTCTCCTTTGTCCTAAGGTCCCTCAGCCTATCTGGCATCTTTTGAGACCCCACCGAACCCAAGGTTCATTTGGTAGCTGCGATGGGCTCCAGGCCCCATGTTAGGTGTCTGTGGGTATCTAGTACTTTTTGCTTCCTTTCTGATCCTGCTGTCTCCCAATTCAAATTTTATCTACCCTGAGGGCAGAGAAGGGTATGCGACAAGGTCTTCCAAATCTTATATCTTAGATCTGGTCCTTACACTTTTCTCTCCTTCCTTCTCAGAATTCTACTGAATCATCCTTCTCCTGAGGGCATAAGCATAGAACCCCTACATTGCTGCTTGAACTGGTCACAGAGTAACAGGAAGTATGGAGGAAAATCCTCTTGTCAACATATCAACATAGTATCCCGTGGTATTTTCTACAGTCTTTCTGATCTTGATTCACTTACTCTCCTACTTGTCTCTCCCTTCAGCTTGTGGCCCAAGTCCTGGAACATAAAGATATAGGCTTTGTGATGGTGGATGCCAAGAAAGAAGCCAAGCTTGCCAAGAAACTGGGTAAGTGTGATTTTCTTTGAGATATATCATGAAGAAACAAATGTGTCTTGCAAAAATAAAAGTACGGTTTTTTTCTTGCATGATAACTAGACTATTTTTGAATAGATTTAAAATGATCCTGCATACCTTAGTCTTGGCTTGGGGAAGAGTCTCACAAAAGTAAATACAGGTCTGAATTAAATAATTTCACATTAGTCATCTAATGTATCTTTGTATCAGTACAAGCAAGAGGGTTTCTTCCTGGAGAAATGGACACTAAAGATTCAAATCTTGGGCTTCCCTGGTGGCGCAGTGCTTGAGAGTCCGTCTGCCGATGCAGGGGACACGGGTTCGTGCCCCGGTCCGGGAGGATCCCACATGCCGCGGAGCGGCTGGGCCCGCGAGCCATGGCCGCTGAGCCTGCGCGTCTGGAGCCTGTGCTCCTCAACGGGAGAGACCACAGCAGTGAGAGGCCCGCGTACCGCAAAAAAAAAAAAAAAAAAGATTCAAACCTTTATTTCCAGTTTCTATATCATGTTAAAAGGCTAGCTTCTCGATGGCGGGTGGGAAGTATAAGTTAGGAATTTGGAAGTAACATATACACACTACTAAAAATAAAATAGATAAACAACAAGGACCTACTGTATAGCACAGGGAACTATACTCAATATTCTTTAATAACCTATATGGGAAAAGAATCTAAAAAAACCAAATATATATGCATGTATAACTGAATCACTTTGCTGTACATATGAAACTAACACAACATTGTAAATCAACTATACGTCAATTAAAAAAAAAAAGCCTAACCTCTCTATCTCCCTGACATGGTGATCTCTTTGAGGGAGATCAAATCTCTTTTTCCAACACCTATTATTTCCTGACCTCTTGGCTGAAGCAGCCAACAAAGAATGTCATTAATAGTGACTCTAGGGTCCCAGTGGTTTCTAAATTTAAGTCCAAAGCCCAGCTGGGCATTGTCACCAAGGATGAAAGGGAGGATTTAGATGAGGTATGGTTAAGCAAGCGACTGCACAGTGCAAGTTGTAATCTCTTGTGTCAATATGTCATGGTTAAGTGCAAGTGCGCTTCAAGATTCTTACACCTCTAATCCCAAGGAGAGAGAATATAGGTTACTCCGCTGGGTTGAAACACCCCCAGATGTGTATTGCCCATTTCACTTTTTCTGCATGACCAGTGAAGGATGGCTATTAAAAGAGAGCAGGAGGTTATAAAACAGGACCTTTGAAGAAAGGTTAATTGGATTTGGAGTAGTAAGCACAGGATAAAAAAGATTAGTGGTGGTTCAGTAAATACCTTCAGGCACACGAAAGTGCATTATCTTAGAGAATTTCAAACAACTGTTTTCTATTTTATGTTCAAGAATAGCTTTTTTAAAGAAAGATTTAAATTGTAAGAAACAATATTTTTTTAAAAAAAGAAACAATATTTAGGGTTAGCTACAAGGAAGAACTCATGACTATAAAATAATAATGAATTATTAAGAATGCCTGGGGTATCTCTTTCCCTGGGGATAAATTAAGAAGTTTTTTTCCCTTGAGCAGGGGAACAAAGCATGTTCAACTCTTTCCCTAGTCAAAAGCAAGTTGATGAGCTGTCCAGCGCCTCTTGATACCCTAGTCTTCTCCCTTCCCACTGTTTTATTTTTATTTTTTATTTTTTATTTTTTGCGGTACGCAGGCCTCTCACTGTTGTGGCCTCTCCCGTTGCAGAGCACAGGCTCTGGACGCGCAGGCTCAGTGGCCATGGCTCACGGGCCCAGCCGCTCCGCGGCATGTGAGATCTTCCCGGACCGGGGCACGAACCCGCGTCCCCTGCATCGGCAGGCGGACTCTCAACCACTGCGCCACCAGGGAAGCCCTCCCTTCCTACTGTTTTAATGAGAAGTTGAATTTGGGAGAATTTCTAGTAAATTTAGTTAGAGGAAAACGCTGGTGTTCCAGAAATCTAAAAATTCACGGAGGACAAGCTGGGTAAATATTCATAAGAATGGACTGGTGGATATCCTCCCCAGGGAGGATGTGATGGGGGTTTAAATATCTAAATGAACCTCTAAATGAAATGGGGCGGGTTCTTTCTGACTATTCGATCCTCGGAGTTTACAGGACAGTTGTATTTTGTGAAGCTGCTCCGTGATCTCCATCCCCATTTCCATGTGCCTGAGTTTGGTCTCTGGACTGGTGCAACAACCTCCTCACTGGTTTCACTCAGAGAAAAATCTAACAGCGGGACACTGGCTGAGGTTCCCCATGGCACCCTTTGTGATCAGTCACTGCCTGCTTCAGGGATACCTGGCCCATTGCTCCTTTAGATTTACAAATGGTGCTCCATGGTGTGCCACGGGTTCTTCAGAAGTGCCCTGGGACACGGTGGGCAGCCTCCCTTTCCTAGAGGTTCTGCAGACGAGTTCATCTGGAGAAGGCATCCTTCAGTTAATCCGAGAGTTTGAAAACAATTAATCTAAGGAATTAAGGATGCCATGCCGTTGGACTTAAGGCCAGCCTCAGCTATTTAGCATCCCTGGGGGGAAATGCAGTTCTCCAGCAAGCATCTGTGAAAGTACACAGCATTACGCTGAGAGTGATGGAGGGTAGGAAAGAAGATGCAGAACCTGCCCTTGCAGCGTTATCAGCAGACTGGGAAAAGATGTGCAGAATTCAGTTACAATAGAAAAGCAAGCTGTTCATTCTGGCTGCAAACATCTATGGGGAGCCCAGTGTGTCCAGACTCCTTTCAAGGCGCTGGGATCCCAAGAGGACAGCAGCCCTACCCTTATAGAGGGCTCGCTGTTATAGCGAATACCTCTAAATGGAGCTGAGAGCAGATCCATAGTGGCAAGGGAGATTGGTGCGGCCTTCTCTGGAAAAATGGGTCGTAAGCTGAGACCCAAAGGAGTTGACCGAGATGGGCAAGGGGGGGGTGGTGGTGGAGAAGGTCACTCTAGGCCCAAGGAGAACATCTGTGCAGAGAATCATGCGCTGTGATTTTTCCTTCATGTCCCCTTTCACAGCAGCTCTTGGGCAAAAAGCCAAGGGAGTTGCACAGGGATGAGGAGTGCAGTTCTCAAGGGAGCACGGGTCCACCCAAGGGAGGATATAAAGGATAGGGCTGGCACTAGGTTGTGGAAGGGCTTGAATGCCAGGCTAAAAAGCCAGGTAGGCAGTGGGCACGAAAACTTTTTGATAAGAAGAATGGGGTCAGCAATACTTTTGGAAAATTAAAGCAGTGGTGGAGTGGAGATTAGATTTTTGGTTCTTGACTAGTTCATTTTGAGTTTCCACTCTGGGAGCCCTTCAGAGGTGTGGCTGTAAGGGAACTGATCCTAGGGTTCATGCTAGTTCCACTGAGCCTGACCCCATGTCACCCAGGGACCCTGAGCCATACCGTGGCCAATAGCATGGCTCTTCCTACATTGGAATGACTTTATTTGGGGAACTCTTTGTTTCTTTTTTAGGTTTTGATGAAGAAGGAAGTCTGTATGTTCTTAAGGGTGATCGCACAATTGAGTTTGATGGCGAGTTTGCAGCTGATGTCTTGGTGGAGTTTCTCTTGGACGTAAGCATTTATGCACAGTGGCCTTGCATGGCACTGTTTGGGTTCAAATACAGGGGGAAGTAAAAGCCCAAAGTAAGAACAGAGAAGGTGAATAACCTGGTCTAAGAAAGATATCTCAAGCTTCACAAAAAACTAAAGCATGCCTATATCACGGCAATACGTCTACTGGGAAGCTGGCCCTTCCATCACCTCAGAAACTATTTTATTAGCGACCGGAGGGTCACAGATCGGGACTGTGTAGTAGTAAGATGTTAATTCTCTTAGCAATTATACACAAACATCCCCAGAATCCCCTTGGCTTTGTTCCAGGGCTTCTGAAGAAAAGTGTAGGAGAGAGAGTTGGATAGTCCCTGGAAGATGGGGTAGGGAGAGGGGTAACAGTCTGCTGAGTGACCCCTCAGGCAGGATGAAAAGAGGCAGGGCTAATGAGACACCCAATATCACACTCCCTCTCAGCCATGGAGGTCCAACACCCTGGGGTCCACGTGCTCAGGCAAACAGAGCAACAAACATTATAAAAATATTTTTCCATAGATAAACTCACACTTTCAATAACAGCTGTGAAGTCAAGTTCTTTTGAACACAGGCGCCTGTGCAGATATAGAACATCCATAATGGTGGTTCCTTATCTACCAGCTGGAATACAGTGGCCTATTGCCTTTTCCCCACTGCCTCAGAAACCCAGAGAGAGGGTCGGAAGTAAGTTGGAGGTTACTTCCTACAAAAAAGTGCGCATAGGCTCTGCTTGGCCCTCTCGCTAACCCATACCTATAAGCCCTCAAAAAAGCTGAGGGAGGCAACAGGATAACTGTGGGCCCCATGGCCCTGCTCTGGCTCTGTCAACCAGGAGGGGGCTTTTAGATGCAAGTACCTTAAAGAATAAGCAGCGTCATTGACCCACACAAATGGAAGAACAGGGCGAGGGCACATTTTAGGCTTGATGAGTCAGGGCTGCAGCTCCGTTTTTCTCTGTAAATCACAGATAATGCTCTTTTCGGGGTGTTGGCTTTGTCCTCAGGCTGACTATTCTCAAGTTGGTTATAAGATAGCCAGAAGCAGGAGCTGATATATCACATTTCCTCATTCATATCCACTGAAGGGGGGAGGGAAATCCGGCCTCCCATTGCTCTCTTAAAAGGAAAGTAGAACTTTCCCCAGGCCTTCAGGCTTATTTACCCTGGAGATTCATTGGCCAGGATTGGGTCACATGCCATTCCTGAATCAATAACCGGCAAGAGAAATGGAGTTGCCCCCAGACCGATCAGCCTACCCCTTGAGGTAAGGTCGGTTCCTCTAAGAAGAGAACTGTGCTCACGGGGGAAGGTGGGGTGGCCATTGAAGCACCAGGACCTAGTCCACAACTTCCCTCCAAAGCCCTCTATACATGTTCCTGATTTCCCCTCTGGGGAGGGAAAAGTTCTCTTATCTGGACAGCTTTTGTGGCGTGTGTGTGGCATTCCAGCTCATTGAAGACCCCGTGGAGATCATCAACAGCAAACTGGAAGTCCAAGCCTTTGAGCGCATTGAGGACCATATCAAACTCATCGGCTTTTTCAAGAGTGAGGACTCAGAGTGTAAGTTGTCTGTCAGCCCCAGCCTGTCACTCTAAAGGCTCTTTTCCCAACAAGGTGTGTTAGATTATCCAGAAAGAAGATGAGCCATTAGCACATCATGTGCTAGGTAGCATAGAGGGAGAATCTTCCTTGCACCCTATGGAATGGGACAAATGAGCAGAAATTATGCAAAACAGGCAGGGGAGCTGAAAGAACATTAAGGTTGGGTCTTGTTTGCTGACCTTGAAGGAGGCCGAGTATTTGACAGAAGAGAGAAAAGCCCTTCCTCCACCTTTTCCACCTGCCCACCAACCCCAGATGGGGCAGAGAGTGGGCTGTCTCTCTGACATTGGCAGCTCCTGTGGTCAGCAGTTGGAGAGCTTCTCAGTTACTTGGACAGCATTAGAGGACAATCTGGGTAGGGATGGGCTTGGGAGCTACAGCACAATGTGGAAGACTGCTGGCCAGCCCCCCTTGACCACCAAGGCTGCCTGCAACGGCACAGCCACGCCCTTTGGTACACTCCCTTGGAAAGCTTTGTGGCCAGCTTTGGGGTGGGCAGAGGAACATATCAGACATCACCACAACCCACACAGGGGTGATCGGTGTAGCGAGTGGGAGTCAGGAAGAGTCAGGGAGAGAAGGAACCAGGAAGGCCAACTACTTGAGGACACTTTTTTAAACTGCTTTGGCAACAAGGGCCCTATATGACTTAAGGCTTTTTCTGGTGTCTGAGCCTTGGAGAGAGGGACAGTGTTAGAAGGAGTGGGCATAACTATGAAAGAGAATCTGGTAGCATTCGTACGTGTGGGAGGTGCAAATAAGGGCTGCTCGTGACTATTTCTGGAAACTTCAAAATATTTTGAAATTATTTGTAAAGCCGTTTCTGTACCCCATCGGCCAACTGGCATCCTTAGTCGTCTCATCAACAACCCACCTATTTTCTCTCTCTCATGACCCAGCTGTCTTCTCATTTACTACATAAAAGCCTCTATTCACCCTCCTTAAGGGTGTGTTTGTGGGAAGGAGCCTAGCCAGGGAGTTTCAACCAAGTTCTTTAGGTGACTTTATTTCAATTTTCACATTCCTATATAGATGCTGACTACTCCGGGGTGCTTCTCCTGACCCCTTCTACTTTCTCCTCTTTATTTCACTTCCTTCTATTTCCCTTAATCTTTTTCTGCCTTCCCCGACCCCCTCAATTGTTTCTAACCATTTCCATCCTTCTGTTTCTCTCTCTTCCTCCATTAAGCTCAGGATAGCATATAGGGAGGGAGACGGGGCCAAGATTGGGATAAGAAACACATCTTCCAGGGAATTCCCTGGTGGTTCAGTGATTAGAACTCTGCGCTCTCACTGCCGAGGGCCAGGATTCGATCCCTGGTGTGGGAACTAAGATCCCACAGGCCGCACAGTGTGGCAAAAAACAAAACAAAACACATCTTCCAGTTTATACCTTCCCCCACCCTAAATGAATAACAATAATAGCTCCATTTAACTAACATATATCCTATGCCAGGGCCCATGCAAGGAGCTTTCTGTAGACGCCTTAGTTTCATTCTCACAACTAGCCTATAAGGCAGTTACCATCATTATCAGCATTTTAATGATGAGGAAATGAAGGAACAGAAGGGTTGAGTGAACTCACCCAGTATCACACAGCTAGCAAATAAATGGTAAAGCCAAGGTTTACACCCCAGACATCTGACTTTAATGCTCATACACTGAACCACTGGGCTGCACTTTCAAGACTTCACAGCTTCGTCGGGTCATGGCACACATGAAATGTGACCATGTTTGTAAGACACATAGTGATAAACTGGAAGAGATTTACTCGGGCCTAGCAAAAAAACCAAAACTTTACCTTCTTAATATAATAATATTCAAAATAATAGGAAAGATATCAAATATTACATTGTAGAAAACTTCCAAGTAAAATATTTTTAGATTTTGAATGAAAATCTTGTGCTTGTTTCTAAGAATATAGCTTTTGATATTAGGTTTTATGCTTGAAATAGCAACATACAGTTCCTGATCAAGGTGTTTTTTTTTTTTTTTCGCGGTACACGGACCTCTCACTGTTGTGGCCTCTCCTGTTGCAGAGCACAGGCTCCGGACGCGCAGGCTCAGCGGCCATGGCTCATGGGCCCAGCCGCTCCGCGGCATGTGGGATCTTCCCGGACCGGGGCACGAACCCGTGTGCCCTGCATCGGCAGGCGGACTCTCAACCACTGCGCCACCAGGGAAACCCCTGATCAAGGTTTTAAATGATCTCTTTGAATTCTGGATAGTCACCCTTGACCAGAGACTTTGCTGGCACATGTGGATGGTGGCAAATGACAGGACAACATTCACTGCTTTTTCTTTGATTGATGAACCATCTTTTCTTGCCATTGAACAGAATTTAGATAATCTAATCTCTAAATTGTCCTTCAGGAATGTGAGCATTCTTTCCATCTAACAGCTATTACTTTCCTTTTCAATGACAAATGTAGTGTTAATATTTCTTATGATCATTTGAATGGATTTCAAATCCAACTGAGCTCTTTTTTTTTTTTTTTTGCGGTACGCGGGCCTCTCACTGTTGTGGCCTCTCCCGTTGCGGAGCACAGGCTCCGGACGCGCAGGCTCAGCGGCCATGGCTCACGGGCCCAGCCGCTCTGCGGCATGTGGGATCTTCCCGGACCAGGGCACGAGCCCATGTCCCCCGCATCGGCAGGCGGACTCTCAACCACTGCGCCACCAGGGAAGCCCGGCTCTTTCATATTATATATTTCAAAATAATAATGAAGCATTTCCTTAGGAATATGCAATTATCGCTCTACTGGTCTTACACTTTTTCTTAAGATTTAAATAATAAAATTACTAGTGAGCCATTTTAACCTCCTTTTTAAGGTTAAATTTTTGCTTTTAAATTGACAAACTTTGTCAGTACACTGTGTATTTCACACGGTCCTTGGAATTTTCAGTTAACTTCATTCAGGATCTCAGCAAGGTCCGGCATGTTTTGAAGCCAATAATTTATCCTTTGAAGAGTTTTTAACATAATTCAGTTTTTTCAATTCACCTCTTAGCTCATAAACTCTTAGTAAAATTCCCCTGGGACAGTTAGACTGCTTTAGTGTGAAACAGCAGAGACAGGTCTTCTGAACCCATTTCTTCACCTAGAGCTAAGAAGAGAAGGGGCTATCAAGATTTGGATGTTACCAGGATCACCTGTTTAATAACAATCTTATATGTGGAATTCAGACCAATAGGTAAAGTTTATATAACAAAGAATTTCTGTGAATAAATACTGCTTGAATATCAAGATTTTCAGAATGAACTTGACAACACAGTCTTTATTTACACCTTCTTGTCATTACAGCCTCACCCTCAGTTCTGAAGCCAAAGGCCTACAGTCCTCTTTAATGAATCAATTAATTATATTATGTCCAATTATTATTTTTGAAAGAAATATTTTTAATTTACAAAGACAAACAATAATTCATTATGAAAACTCCATCTAGAATTAGACTGGCTAATTGTTAATATTTACAGGCATTAGAAAAAAGAAAGAAGGAAGGTAGGAAGAAAGGATGGTAGGAAGGAAGGGATAAATTGAATAATTCAGAAAATTAAGAAAATCAGTTTTGCCCTCTTTAGGAATACCTAATGCCATATTTTGTTGATAATACTGATTACGATGATTACTAACCTAATAAACAGATAGCAATCATGCATTCCATCGGTGTTAGTAGAAAAATATGAACATTACAGTAAATTAAATCAAAAGAAAAAAATTAAATACTTTAGAGTCTCACAAACCAAAAAACTTCACTGATGATAAACAAACTTGGACTAAAGTAACAATCACACCGAGACGATCCAGTGGGGAAGACAGGGGAGCAGCCTCTCTCTAGCTGTGATGCTCGCTAGTCTTAGGCACAAAATAATTGTTATTGAAACAGAACATTTATAGAGGGAGCCATTGTTTTCAAATATAATATTAACTACCGTAAAGTCTGAATGGCTGTAGAAAACATCTAGAAAGATTTATCACCAAAATATTTATGTCTATCAAGCTCCTTGTAACATACCCGTGGCCATCACACACTGGCTGAAAGCATCAGGATGTTCTACTTGGCATTCCCATCTCTCTGTCTGTTTCTTCTTGCCTTTCAAAAGAGGCCAAGGTCAGTGGGTGGGGAAGCTAGGAGTGGATAAGGCACCCAGGGAAGCAGTTGTTGAGAGTCCTATACTTCTGCTGTAGTTTGAGGGTGATTGGTCAGGAAAGTTTAATGGAACAGAAGGCATTGGCTTTGCAAATGGTCCCAAGCTTTTCTATAGAACAAAAACAATGGAGGCAGTGGAGAAACTGGAAGGATTTAAAACCTAAGTAGACTGGAATAGGCTTAGCAGAAAAGGATGCCTAAGAGATTTGGTACCAGATTAGAAAGGACCTGGAAGAACTGGGAGGCTACATCTTCCAGGGAGGTTGGGCATGAAAGTCCATCTCCAGCTTGAGCGTGTAGCTATGGATGCTAGCGTTGAGCGAGCGTGGCAAGAACTTCCTAGGGGAACTCAGCTGATGGTTAAGAATGCCAACCTGGGGGAAATGTGGAGCTAAAGGGTCAATACCCAGTACGGAAAACCCGGAGGGATGGGCAAGAAAGGTGAGAAAATGCTAAGACACGTCTGCAATAAGCTGGAGGTTGAAGGCTGGATGTTTAGGAGCCCATTCCAGAGGGGAATGAGGAAACAAACAAACAAAAACAGGACACGAGGGCAGGAAAAATCTAGGGAATCCCATGAGATCAATAGAGCAGAAGACTAGACCAGGTTTCCTGGAAGACAGCTGTTGTTTGGGCGAGGCTAAAGGCTCAACCACAGTTTGAAGCACCAACTTAGAGAATTACCTTTCCCTACCCTTCTTCATCTTGAAAGGGATGTAGATTGGCTCCTCAAGTGAAGAAGAGAGATCTCTGCACACAGATCAGGGCCATTCTTTCTATGACGATAGGGGGTCATGGAGGTGGGGAGAGGTTCACCCGGAAGAGGGGGTCTGGGAAGAGGGGACAGAGGATTCTCACGGAGCCCACTGCTGCCTTAGAGAGACGTAAATAACAGGTACGGCTATAACCACTCCACTTTCTATACTCTCCCACTGTCTCTCTATTCATTCTCCACATCTCTCACCCATCTTCTTCCCCTCCACCTAATTCTCTATCCCAACTCTCAGGTTTTGTGATATATTTTCTTTTTTTTTTGCGGTACGCGGGCCTCTCGCCGTTGTGGCCTCTCCCGTCGCGGAGCACAGGCTCCGGATGCGCAGGCTCAGCGGCCATGGCTCACGGGCCCAGCCGCTCCGCGGCATGTGGGATCTTCTCGGACCGGGGCACGAACCCGTGTCCCCTGCATCGGCAGGCGGACTCTCAACCACTGCGCCACCAGGGAAGCCCTATGATATATTTTCTGATGACACAACTACTTTTATGAGGGATGAGTTTGTGTAAACGTGTATCAGTTTGTACAGCTGTTCTTGTAAATTTTTCAACCCCTGTCTCGCCTGTGTTTATTATGCTTTCCTCCATTGCAGCAGCTATCATTTGCATTGTGGTTCTTTAAGGGCCCATTACCCTCCTTGGCTGTGAGGCTTTGAGATCAGTGTCCTTGTCTTACTCGTCTTGGTGTCCCCTGAGTCAGCATGATTCTTGAAATGTTTTTCATTGAATATTAGAAAATTCTGCCTGCTCCTGGGATTCTAGCTAAAGTTTATGCCTCCGATGATTAAGAGATATGAAATTCCATGAAATGGAAAAAAAGGTAATCTTGTTAAGAATGAATCTTAGGATCATTGACTCTCAGGATTATAGACTTTATGCAGAACAACCACCAACACCAACACCATTACCATCACCCTCACATATCAGACAGGAATACGAATGTCTTTACCAAACAATAACTATCTAGGTGTAGTGAGGCACAGCATGGCCACACTCATGTGGTCTCATGCTTATCTTGACCAGTTTAGATTCAAGTTTGGGGCCAGAATCAAGCAAGGGCTTGGTTAATTTTTTTTTTTTTTTTGTCTGCATCGTACCTTAGCTGCGGTACGCGGGATCTTTGTTGTGGCACTCGGGCTCTTCGTTGTGGTACACGGGCTTCTCTCTAGCTGTGGCGTGCAGGTTTTCTCTTCTCTAGTTGTGGCACGCAGGCTCCAGGGCATGTGGGCTCTGTAGTTGTGGTGTGTGGGTTCCAGAGTGCGTGGGATCTGTAGTTTGGGGCATGAGGTCTCTAGCTGAGGTGTGCGAGCTCAGTAGTTGTGGCGAGCGAGCTTAGTTGCCCCGCGTCATGTGGGATCTTAGTCCCCTGAACAGGGATTGAACTCGTGTCCCCTACATTGCGATGTGGAGTCTTTACCACTGGACCACCAGGGAAGTCCCTAGGCTTGGTTAATTTTAAGTCATCTCTCAGGAGATCAGAATGAAAAAAGAAAACTTAAAAAGAGGGAAAGAAAAACTAGGAGTTAGCCAAAGAGGTACTCCTGTTAAGAAGTTTAAAATTCTTCTGTGATGTCATTTTTGATTGAGTTGCTTTGCATACTAAGTGGGTTTTCTTCTTACTCAGTGCTCACTTATACAGCAGCACTCTTTAGCGGGCACACGTAACTAGCAGTGAGTTTGAGTGAAAAAATTTCTTTTGGTTTTTCTCTCCCTTGTCCTCTCTTCGTTTCTTCTGTTTTCTCCTTTCTGTCACCCAATTTCCTAAAACACAGAAAAGTGTGATAAAGAGTTCCTCTTTTGGGTGATAGAATGCCAGTCAGTTCAAATTCCTTGGGGTTTAAAATAGTATCAAATAATTATCTGTCTCAATAATGGCTACTAAATAACTATCCAATCAGAATTAATTGGTTTCCCACTTTCTCTACGTTATTTAAAAAGAGAAATTTCTGATGCAGTGTGTATCTTGAAAATGTCTCTCCGTTTTATCTTCTTCCTCTTAGATTACAAGGCTTTTGAAGAGGCAGCTGAACATTTCCAGCCGTACATCAAATTTTTTGCTACTTTCGACAAAGGGGTAAGTACCTATGAAACCCCACTTTAACCGCTTTAAAGATTGAACTTCCCACCACTTTTCTTTTGGCCACATTAACCATCCTCTATCCATTAACACTTTCTCCAGAAGCGTTAGAAATATGGCAGTAAATATGGCAGTGAATAAGAGATGAGTATGAAGATGATTAATTCAGAATCTCTATAAGCGTATTTCTGAAAGCATCCAATAAAGAGAGATGAACCACTCTTTATCACCTTCAACACTAAGAATGGGAAGTGTGTGAGCCCAGAGTGTGCCAGGACACTGGTCACTGCTTCCTTTTTGTTTAGGGCCATCCTCTGCCTTCCTGGGGTTGCATACTTCCCCCTCTACTGGGTCAGGACGGGGGATGAAGTGGAGAGGAGCACTGACCATCTGAAGCCCTGGTGCTTCAGAAAGTTACTTTCATCCTCAGGAGAAGCTATTGTTGTACTTGTCTGTAATTCAATGGATCTATATTTTCTGGATGTGGCAAGTTCTTTTTTAAGCCAAAGAACAGCAGAGATAGAGGGATCTTGAATCAATGGGTAATTTATCTGGGGTCTACTAAGGTTGCAGTACTCCATTCTGGCTCCAGTTACTACTAAAATGGCTACTTATTGAGTATTTTCTGTGTGTTGGGCACAATTTGATATATTGCATCTATACTATTTCTAATCCTTTAAACAACTCCACAACAACTCTGAAAAGTAAAATACCCTGTTTCCCAGATGAGAAAAACGATTTAGAAAGGTTAAGTAGTATCCAAGGTCTCCAGCGAATTAGTAGTAGTGCTGAGGTCACAATTTAGGACAATCTTTACCTAAAACTCATGCCATTTCTTCTGTACCACACCATTAAGCAGAAAACTCTGTATCTGCCCTTGAGATTCAGGGTGCACACCCACACACCCACATTCATACTCACATCCACACAACACACACAGAACACACATACAACACCCATATAACCACACACAGTACACACACTCACACAACATACAAGCATAACACATACCTCCTCACACAATCACACTCACACCCACACATATATAACACTCCCAGTGCACATACATTCAAACTTACATCCACGCCATCCTACACATACGTACCCCAACTAAAGCCCTAAATCACAACGTTTACTAGAACAAATAAATCTAGGACAAACTAAATCCTGATCAAATCCAAGTGGTAAAAGTTGAAAGTAAAAAAAGGTAAAAGTTACTCCTACTGAGGAGTAAGGCATTGAAGAACAGTGCTCATGGGCCTTGCTACTTTGAGGAGTTCAAGTTTTCTGTGAAAAACAAGAGGCAGCCTGTAGGTGCTGGAGCAGGGAAGGAGTATGGTGAAAAGAGATTGCATTAAATACATAGACATAACCACTTCTATGGATCTGACCCCAGTCTACAAGCCTATAATCCAGAAGGGAGCTCTATAATCTAAGTAATGTAATCTAAACTCGAAGAAAGTTTACCCTAATGGTTTGGATTAGAGTTGGGAGAGAGCTTGAACAAGAATATCAAAGGGAATAATAACTATCATTTATTAAGTACTTTTTATATGTCAGGCTGTGTGCTAAGAGCTTTACACAGGTTTTCTCATTTAATCCTCTCAACACCCCTGTATAAGAGGGATTAGGATTCTCAGCCTACAGAAGCTGAAACCAGGGCACCAAGAGATGAAGTGATCTGTGATTTGCTCAGGGTCACACAGTGAGTAGGTTAGGCTGACTTCAAAGTCCACTGCTCTGCACTGCTGCACCCCAGAGAGAGAAACACTACGTGTCAGATGATCAGCTGCCGCCTGGCACATAGTAAGCACTAGTAAATGTTAGCCAGTACTATTGCTAAGAAGAGGCAGTCCTCTAAGCCCAGGAGGATGGAGGTTGGGAGGGGATATTAGTAGAGAAGGGGAGGTCCAGAGGAGCCTAAAGGAAATTCAGCGCTGGCGTTTGGTTACGATGGGCCAGGAGTGAATAAGGTGGCTTCTGGGTAAGAACTCATCTGAGGAAAGAGAGAGTCAGGTGGGCAAGCCAGGCCAAGCAAGAAAGCCTCAGTTCTTAGAAGGCTGGTCCAATGCTGAGTTCAGGGTAGTGTCTGTTTTTAGGTGTGCCTCCCAGCCCAACCATATGGCTTCGTATCTGTGGACCATGAAGAAGGTGAGGTCGGGCTATAATCAAAAACTCAGAAGGTTCTTCACTAAAAACTCTGTAAGACACTGAGTCATAAGTGCCCTTGTTCATAGAGACTTGTGGGATTTTAGAACATTTATAAAGAGAAAGATGCACTCTCTACCTCTATAGAGAACACAGAAGGAAGAGCTGTTTCACTGAGCGGACCGGATCGTGCCCTTTGGGACTTGAGAACTTGCACTCATCAGTTGCGGGGTGGGGGAAACGGTGGTGTCCACAAGCCATGGCTGTCCCCAGGCCAAGCCTCAGTGGTGTCCAGCAGGGGGCGCTAGAGCAGAAGAGGTGGGTGGAAGGACCTGGTTGTGAGACACATCCTAGGGAATCCCAGAGGGACCTGGGGAAGGGGAGGTGCTTTCTAGACGTTTGAAGTCAGGAGAGGCAAGGGCCCGGGAAGCCCTAATACAGTCCCAAAGATGACAAACTAACTGGCAGAGGTTGAGATGACTAGAGGACCTGGCCTCTGTTGACATGAAGGAGAGAAAGACGAGAGAAGACACACCAATAACTTAAGATCGCAAGTCTCTGCTTCAAGACAGCAAAGATTGTAAAGCTACTGAAAACATTAGGAAATCTAGGAAGAAGAATCTATATATAGGAACATAAGATGGGGTGATGAGCTCTAATCTCTACAAGCTGGGAAGACATTCAACTGGAAGGATCTTTCATTTATTGATTCATTCACTCACTTAGCAAGCATTTATTGAGTGTCTGTTATGTGCCAGGCACTCTTCCAGATGCCAGGGACACAACGTTGAGCAAAACAGATTCCTATCCTTGTAGAATTTAGAGTTTAGTATATGGGATTGGTGGGTAAGGTCTGGGAAAGGAAAAGACAGGAAGACAGAAAGTAAGTAAACAACCCAATAAATATATTATATTAAATGTATTATATGAGTTGGAGAACTGTCAAGAGGACGAGCTATCAGGGCTGCTGATGTAGATTTGGGAGTTTAGTAGTTTCCAACCACTGTCCATATTGGTATGCCCCAAGGAGCTTTTAAAAGCAAGGATTCTTGAGTCCCATCTGGGAAATTTGGATTTTTCTAGCATTGCGACCAGGCCCAGAAATATGCCTTTTTCTAAAAGCTCCCTGAGAGATTTTACCTGGCACACAGGTTTGGGACCAGCACTGATCTGTGGATCTTGATCCTACATCAAGCCACACAAGGGCCTAACCTCCCTGAAGCAAATGGAGCAACAGTGAGAGGGCTAAGGATGGTGTCCACTCTGTGGCACCTCACAGCCTGAAAAATGTCAGTTCTAATCATCTCATGCTATCTCCCACTGGCCTGTTCTTTTCTTGGAGTGAACAGTGAGAAGCAAAATCATTTTTTGAACCATATTGGTCCAAAAGAAGCTGTGATTCTCTAAACAAAGTTGATGGGCAAGACAGATGTTGAGAAAACCTAAATTCATTGAGTTGTTTTCATCTGCAACAACCAAAATGGCTTGCTAACTTGTAGAAAAACATCTGTTATCAAAATTCATACACATGCAAATGTCAAAAAAATTGTACTTTGTAACTTTCTTGTCTTTGGCATACTCCATTCCAACTATTTTTTTTTAAGTACAAAAGAATTCATTATACGGACCTCTTGAGTTTTTAATAGTAAAATCCATTCTTACCATCCATGAAACAGGTCTCCTCCCAGAACAGAACCTTGGATATAGTAGACCCCACTAAATATTTATTGAAGGAATGAAAGAATCAATGCCTCAATCAATCAAATCTCCTTCAGTCTTTACCATCCAAGATACAATTAAAAGAATGGAATTCTCTGAGATTCAAAAGGAGGAAAATCTATGATAGTGATGGGGATATAGTGAACAGGTCTCTGGAAAAGTTTGCTCAGGGTTCCAAAGACTTAAACTTACGAACATCATAATCCAACTTTACATTCATGGTCTTAACACTACAGACCCTAACATACACACACATATACACATGCACACTCATGTGCATAGGTGCGTCTCCACTGCTTACCTCAATGGAGGGTCTGATGAGCTCCTTTTCACCTTCAGGAAGCCTTCGTTCTAGCAGACTGTGCTAGGGATGAACTGATGGGAGCATGTTACAAGAGGTAGAAGGAAACCTCTCCCTGTGACATGCACAGTGTCAAGGCAATATTTAAAGGGACATAAATTCCTTTCTGTACAGTGTCAAGAAGAAGGTAATTTTCAGATGAGAGGAAAGTTGGAACGGAGGCAAGTTGTTAGTTGAGAACAATTTGAGAACTCAAATTGTGCCTCAGGTCTGTCATTTGTAAAATAAGTATAATAATAGTTCTTACCTCATACAGTCAAAGTGGGGATTCATAAAGTAATCAACTGAAAACACTGCAGCAGTGCCTGGCACATAATAAGCACTCCATATGTTTGCTATTATTAGTTTTTGCTCATCTGCTCACTTCCTACTTCATATAAACACCGTTTCCTGGTTCCTAGAATATGTAGTACGTGAACTCAGAAAACCAGAATCCAATGTCATTTTCAAGCCCATTCTATGATGGGCCCAGCTTTGTGAAGAACTGTGTGTAAACCCAAACAGTGGTTGTAGAGTTGCTCTTTCCTCCCTTCCTCCAACCACACTCCTCACCCCCACCCCACTGAAGAGGGAAGAAAGTAAGAAAAAAACCCCACACCTTCTTGTCCTTTAAAACCAAATCAGCATGACCATTAAATCTCTTTGACTGCGGCTCTTAACACAGCTTGTTTTCGTTAGCTCTGAGTAGGATGTTGGTATTTCTTTCCCTTAAGTCCTTAAGAAATGTCTTTTGGAATAGAGTGACCTGGATGAATAGCAATTGATGACAAAAGCCATAGGGATACCAGTGTGTGCTCAGAATGGACCTCCTTGTGTAACAGCTTATGTAATACCCAGTTCCTCCCCGTCACCAATTAGTTACGGCGGCCCTGGGCCTCCACACTGTTGGTTACCACCACAGGGCGTCAGCTCTTAGGCAATTCCTCTTTATTTTCAAGGGAACCACTGTTCATCCCTGTGCTTTCTTGGACCACAGCTTTGAACTAGAAAAGAATGGCATTTGGTTTTCTACAGAGCGTTGCACATTCCAGGCCTCTCAAATCATTTCACAAAAGGAGATGAGAGTTCAGCAGCTCTGCAGGCGAACACAGCAACCATTCTGCCCTGACCAGACCGCGTGGCCACGTTAATGAAGAGCGCAGATGGCTCCCAGGCTATGGGCTGGCTCCCCATGCTTTTTATTTGGTACAGCGTGAGCAACTCATCCCAGCTTGCTGGGTACTAACCCAGTGTTAGCACTGAAAGTCTGAATCCTGGGAAACCCCTCCACTCTGGACAAACCAGGATGGTGGCTCACCTTCTGACAGGTAACTAACCAGGCAGTTCCCAGAGCCTGAGAAACCATAAAACAAGCCCAGGACTGAGAGACAACCCTTGGGCCAATGCTTCAACCAAAATAGCAATTAGGGTTTATGAGCTGATCGAGGACAGATTCCTGAGTTGGCCTCTGATTCTGAGTACCTGTATGCTTTAAATGGTTTCTGTCAATTGCCTGTTCTATCAAAACTGATTCAATTAAATCCATACATCCCAGGACACTGAACATGATCTGTTGACATTTGCTTCCTCCTCCAGCCCCTGGCAAATACAGTAGAGTGATGGTGATAATGGAATTAAATTTCTCACCTTTCATTCTGACTGCTCTCTGGCCCTGACTGGATCTCATTTGCCAGAGGAGTTTTTTTCTATCTGTCCTTTGATCACAAAAGTAGATCGGTCCAGCCAGGTGGACCGATGAGTTAGGTGATGAGTTCCTATCATTTCAATGTTTAAGTAAAAACCATGCATACACTTTCATGTCTTTTGCAGAGAACACACACACTTGTAGCCGGACAACCCATTGCTACTCTAGACTAGTGTTCAAGGAAACTATTGTCTTACTTCTAACTGTTACAGGTTGCAAAGAAATTGTCCTTGAAGATGAATGAGGTTGACTTCTATGAGCCATTTATGGACGAGCCCATTGCCATCCCTGACAAACCCTACACAGAAGAGGAGCTTGTGGAGTTTGTGAAGGAGCACCAAAGGTGTCCCAGATGGCATGCAGGGGTGGGGGCAGGGGGGATCCAGGGCCTGGGAGATGGAGAAAAGCCTCTCAGTCCTACCATTTCAGACCCCCAAGGGCAACAACCTGGAGTTAGTAACCGAGCAGAACTGAACTCAGTAGTGTGGCTTTGTTGGTCATTGATCAGTGGCAGGGATGTTGCCATATTTTCTGAATATGGGTCTACACTTGCAAACAAGGTTAGACCACCTCCCTGCAGTGAGGAAATCACCTCATACAGTAGGATGTAAGTAAATTCTACAATGATAATGATAGTGATGTAGTGACAGCCTCTTAAAGTACTATGTTAGGTGCTTTTGGAAACTATATTACCGACTCTTCAACATTATGGGGTAATTATTATCATCCTAATTTTACAGATCAAGGAATTGGGCTCAGGGTAGTTGAGTAACTTAGTCAAGGATGAACATTTTATGCCTAGAACTTCTGGGAGAGGAATCGTTGATACCACCAGCTCTAGCATGGATCAGCAAGCTTTTTCTACAAAGGGCCAGATAATAAATATTTCAGGCTCTATGAGCCAGATGGTCTCTGTTGCAAACACTCAATTCTGCCTTTATAGTGTGCAAGCAGTCGCGGGCCATATGTAAACAAATGGGTGTGTCTGTGTCCCAAAGGGAGTTTATTTATAAAAACAGGAGCCATTGGCTGGATTTGACCCACCAGCTGTAGTTTGCTGACCCCAGCTCTTAAGGGAGGGACAATACTGGAACATGGAATATGGTGGTGGTTCACCCTCTCACCCACCCACCCTCCCCTCCACATGCTCACATAGGTTCATTGAACCTGGAGCATCATGATTCCATCACCCAGTCAGCTTGGTCCCTCCAGGGATGCAGCACCCGGAGGAACAAATATCAACACGTCTAACAGTATTTGTCAACATTCAAAAAGAAATGAAACCATGAGCAAAAGATAGACCCAACCTGCTCCTCCCTAAAGGGCTTTTGATGGATGACCCTGGTGCTAAAACAACCGTAGTTCTGGGCTGTTTCCTCTCCTGGGTCTCCTCATTCTGGGCCTGCTCTGGGTTCTCAGGAGTGGCAGCTGTATGTGAGGAGGGAAATGGCTTCTTGGCCTGGGAGTGAGCTGACTCCGTGCCCTCTGACCTATGATTTGTAATAGATTTTATAATCCTTGGATCAAATGGGCCCATGGAAAGGCTGAGAGCTTTAGGCCCAGCTCTGTGTGTGACACAACAGGGTCAATCTGCTCTGTCTCCTTAGGGGAGACAACAGGTACGTAGACACTCTTGAAAATGGACTAACATCTCATTCTACATTTCACTGTGCTGAGGCTTTGGGTGTCAGCCAAGGTAATCCCTACCCAACAAAGCTCATCTTTTTTTTTTTTTTTCAGACCCACTCTACGTCGCTTGCGCCCAGAAGATATGTTTGAAACATGGGTAAGAAAGTGGCAAACTCTTTCTGCTTTGTAGAGATGGGTATATTCCCCAGGAGGAATACCCCTTTGAGTTCCAAAACTCAAACCAAGTCTTAGTTGCCTGGAGTGGATGTCTGGATGGTGGAGAATTTGAAATGTGGACAATATCACACTGAGTTACAACCCAGTTCTTCTGGGCTGGCCAGTAGGCAAAATTACTCTATCTCTGAGTTCATTTCCTAGAGTTTCTACTGGCTTTCATTCACTGGCCACCAGAGACCCAAGGTCACGTGGTAGAAGGAGCTCAGACCATGAGTTACATACAGACTTGAGCTCAAGCCCACAGTCTGCCACCTAGTAGCTTTGCATCGTAGATCAAGTCACGTGGTCTTTCTGAGCTTTAATTTCTGTATCTAAAATCAGGCTTTTTGTAAATATGAAAGGTGTGAAGAACCCAGACATAGGGGGCACTCCATTAATGCATGGTAGCTGTTTTTGTAAATATCAACTCAAGGCACTGGAAAATGCTGAGTCAGACTGTCCCCTAGGTCTGTGTCACAGACAAGACGTAAGGTGGGTCAAATTGCATTAGAAAGAGGGCCTTGGAGATACACTCCCCCCACCCCACCCCCCAGCTTTATAGAAAATTCTCTAAACAGTAACAACCAAAGTCTATGGAGCATTTTTCAAAGCATTTCATGCATCTTTTTACTTGGATCTCTCAACAGTTCTAGAAAGTGATATAGAACAAGTATTATTTTAGATTCCTGGGGAAACTGACAATCATACAGATTAGATGAATTACTCACGGATACATAACTAATAAGCATTAGATCTTGGGACTTAAATTTAGACCACCTGGGGCCAAATCTCATTTCTCCAGTATACCTCCTAGAGTGGGCCATGTCCCCATAAGGCAACATTCTGTCAGGGAGGGGGCAGAAAGGGATTAACATGGAAGCATATATTTACTCTCTAACTCAGAGTCTAAAGTGACAGATGAACAGAACCGTGGAGTAACTTGACACCCTCTGTTTTACTGGCACGTAACTTCTTTGGATGTCTGAAGGTAGAACAAACATTTCACACCGAAGGCAAATGATCTGGTCCAGAGGAGAGAACTATAGAAGAGCAACACAGCACAATAGAAACATCTTTTCCTAACATTTAAACCTTTCAAAAATTTAACCTTTAGGAGGTCTCATTATTAGATTTAAAAATAACAAAAAGCATATAACAGTGCTTTGAAAATAATATTCCTTTTTAAATTATTTTTGCTTTTCACCTAAAACAATTTCAGACTTATAAAAAATAGTGCAAAGAATTCCATGATCCCTTTACCCAGATTCCTCAAATGTTAACATTTTACTCCTTTTGCTTTATCACACACTCTCTTGATAGATATACAGATTTTTTCCTGAACTGTCTGAGACTAAGTAGCAGACCCAGTTCCCCTTTGCTCCTATAGACTTCAGAAGTTGTCTAAAAACAAGAACTTTCTCTTATATAATCATAGTATGCTTATCAAAATCAGGAAATTAATACTAATACAATTCCACATTTAAATTGACCAGTTGTCACTAATATCCTTTATAGCAAGAGAAAACATTTGTTTTTTCCTGGCCCAGGATCCAATCCTGGATCACAGGCTTATGTTTGGTTGTTATGTTACTTCAGTCGCCTTTAATCTGGAAGAGGTCATTGGTTTTTGTCTCTCATGACACAAGGTACCATTTTAAATCGAGAGTGATTATTACTGTTCCGTTCTGCTATGCCTTTATCTTTACTTCTTCTTCTTCTTACTTTGTTCATTCTTAAGAGATAAGTCTCTAGGCTCCTGGAAGGGAGACACTGCAAAACTGTAGAACCCTTCTCTCAGGCCTTTCCTCACGGACATAGCAGTATCACATCCCGAACCACCACACCATAGCGGGAGAGGTCCTGTCCGCTCCTTCACAGACACCCCTAATCCTCCACACTGCCCTGAAGAAATGCTCTCTCTCCCATATCGGAGGTAGATGTTCAGAAAGAAAGTTCACTGCCTGGCTTCACTGGAACCCATCCTCTGCTTTCTTTTCACTTAGTAAGATACAGCTTTTGCTATACTATAAGATAACAGTGATGGCTCACATTATTATATATTCAATTGTTTTCTAGTTGGGAAAGGGCTGTGTATTGAAGTTAACCAGGTAGAGAAAAGGGCAACCAGACTGGTTTACTGCTTTCCAACACCCCATCATGGAATACCCACGTGATTCCCCAGAAGCCCTAGCCAGACCTAGTCAGCCCCTCATCCAAGTCTCCAACTAGGGAGGGAGGGCAAGACCGGCCATCCAGGGTTATCTTCACATCCTGAAAAAGGAGGAGCAGAAATCAGTCTGTCAGAAGGCTCTTTGGGGAACCCCTTTGCCTATCCCCAACCCATCCACATGTGCCCACCCCCAAAGCAGCATCTTCCTGGGCTACTTGGCCATAGCAACTTAAACCCCACATGTTGGGGAAAGTGACCAGCTCATGAACTTTAAAGTCTTTATCTTCAATACCCACTTCCTTAGACACTGCAAGATATTTAAATAAAATAGTAAAACTAGGTAGAGCTAAAGCAACTATTGACCTTCTTCTCTCCCAAACTCTACAGGTTTTTAAAGCAGCAAATCATAGAAAATACATAACTTATTATTCCTAAAAACATTATGCCTAGTAATAGTTGCTGTGTGAAAATCAGACAGCTATTTTTTTTTTTTTTTTTGCGGTATGCGGGCCTCTCACTGATGTGGCCTCTCCTGTTGCGGAGCACAGGCTCCGGACGCGCAGGCTCAGCGGCCGTGGCTCACGGGCCCAGCCGCTCCGCGGCATGTGGGATCTTCCCGGACCGGGGCACGAACCCGTGTCCCCTGCATCGGCAGGCGGACTGTCAACCACTGCGCCACCAGGGAAGCCCCAGACAGCTATTTATTTATTTATTTAGAATATTCAAAGAATGTCGAGGTAGAGCAGGGCAGTCCAGACCCAATGCTGACCTGTCCTTCCTCTTTGAGACTCCACCTTCCCACCAGCTCTCCATCCTAGCAAGTGGCCAGCCAGAGTCCTTAGCAAAAGCCCACAGAAATGGGAGTCAGCAGTTCTTTCTAAAAGAATCTTCCCTTGGTTGCAATAGGCAAGTAATTCCCAGAGGGGGGCAGAGAGCTCCTCCAGATGAGCCCCTGCACCACTTCACTGCCCCTTAGTTAGGAAGTCTGACAGTTTTAACTGCTTCTTTTTTTCCTTTGCATCTCTTCATTCAACATGAGAGCAAACATTCAACCAAGACTGGAAAGAAACAGTTAAATATGAACAATGGTAATTGATTGGTGGGTAATTGATGTTTCATTTCTCCTTGGTATCTCTAATATTTGCTAATTTTCTTCAAGCGGTATGTAAGATTTTTATCACTATATTCTTTTTTTTTAAGTCAATAAACATTAAGAAGAACCTATTACATTGTGCTAAGTACGGAGGTTATAAAAATAAGCCTTGCTGTCCTGTCCTTAGGAATTCGAGGTTAAGTAGATGAAACAGTTGCAATAATACAACACCAGCCCAGTATGCTTGCCGCTATGACAAAGGGACATACAAAGTGCTAGAGAATCTAGAGTAAGGGAATCTAGAGTAAGGTATTCACCAAAGTAACTCCCAAATTTCCACTTCTTTGGGGGATCTGGTGCTCAGCCACTTTGTATAAAAGCCCCTTCTTGGCCTCTTTCAACTTAAGTAAGAGCCACTGACCAGAGTTTGCAACATCTTCTGCAAAGCCCGTGGAGAGACAATAGATTTAAGGAGCCCATTCTGCTGTTGTTCATAATGTCAGGGAGGAAAATCTTTCCTCTACCCTCTTAGGTTCATTTCTTACGGCCTACAAATTAACCTGACAAAAGACAGATTGGCAAGAGAGAAAAAAAAAAAAGAAGATTTAATTAGCTATTTATGCATGCGAGTTCACAAACGTGATTCAAGGAGGGGCTTATATACCATCTTAATGGGGAATGGGGGGGGTAGGGGCAGAGGAGCACTTCTGGGAGAACGAAATGACTTTTTGGAAAGATAAATGGGCCCTTAGGAGAAGAGATGGCAGATATGATAGTTTTGTGATAATGTCTATCTGAGAAAAGAAAATTAGAGTGATGACAAGTTCTTTGGGGAGGCTCTGCTTTTAGGCAGATAAAAGATTTCAGGAATTCAAATGCCTTCAGCCAAAATAGTTTTTATGCCACAGTGGCTTATTCTGGACCCCTTCAGTGAGAAGGAGCATGGGCTTTGGGGCCAGACAGAACTGGCTTGAATCCCAGTTATGTCACGTACCGTCTCATGCCTTAAGGTAAGTCACTTAATTCTTGAAGCATTGAATAGGAATGAGACTTTGATTTGAGATTTAGAAACAATGTATTTACAAAGTACTGACACAGAGGGTGGCAAATATTATTGTCTCCATTTTCATCATCATTTTAAGCCATAATGCCTTCCCTCAGAGAGCTTGCCATCTGGTTGAGAAGAGATTTGTGCAATTAAAAAGGTTATTTCTGGGCTTCCCTGGTGGCGCAGTGGTTGAGAGTCTGCCTGCCGATGCAGGGGACACGGGTTCGTGCCCCGGTCCGGGAAGATGGCCACTGAGCCTGCGCGTTTGGAGCCTGCGCTCTGCAACGGGAGAGGCCACAACAGTGAGAGGTCCGCGTATCACACACACACAAAAAAGGTTATTTCCAAGGCAAGGCGATGACTAAATGGGTGATCTGGGCAGCAAAGGCTGTGGGGTTCAGAGAAAGCCCCTGGGGTATTCTCAGGCCCGTGGATGGTCAGCTCGGCTCTTCCTCCCCCCATGCACGTTGGATTCTCATCGAGTAACCCTGACTTACTGGCTTGTCCGTGGATTCTTGCTCTGTGAGTTTATTACTGAAAATACTGAAAACACCTGGCACTAAGCAGCGCCTGCCTCTTTGCAGGTGTTCAATACAGGTTTGTGGGCTGAATCTTTGAGACCCACAGAGAGAGAGGCTCTTTCTTTGGGTTACGTATGGCTCTCCATCCAGGGACCACCTCAGGCGTGGGGAGTGACAGCTGTATTATAAGCAGCCTCTTAGCAAACGAATATGGATTCTTAATTCTAAAACCAATTTCCAAATGCATTCTAGAAGGGCACACAGAAATGAACAGAATTAACACTGCTTACTTCCAACTGATGGCAGGAGACAGAGACACGGGGCAGCCTAATGAGAACTGATCAAGATATTCTGTCTGGCGATAATAGCAAATGTAAAATAGGGAAACCTCAGACTCCCCTTCTGGTTGCTGTCGGTTTTGTGTAATAAACCTGCACTCATGCACGCGCGCACGCACACACACATGTTATCTGTAAAATTCAATTCCCCAGAGAGTCTGACCATGGCAGTGCCTACTCTCTTGTTTTTAATAATAATATTTTCCATTTAATCTCTCTTAGACTATTTGGAGGTTTTTGTCCATTCCAAACTCAAAGGGGAAAAATTAGCATTTAGATAGGATTGCACCCGCATTAAAATCAATTGAAATGGAAACAGAGATCATGGGAGGGTTGAGATGCCTGGAGTTTTTTTTTTTCCCTAGGATGATTCTGATATGACACATTCAGGGCATCCAGTGAATCCCTCTGCTGGTGTCAGTGATAATCATATTCACTTGGGTTTGTCCCCGGTGCCTCGTTCTCACACAACTTCCTCTCCAGGTCTTCTGAGGATCACATTTCCCAAAGAGGGGTCCCTCTAAGCTCTCGCTTCTCCTTCTGCAGGAATAATCAATGCAGAGGAGACACAAGGCACATATATATGGTCCTTTCTGCCCAGGACATAGAAACATGGAATGCCACTTGCTTGTCCCTGGATTTGAAATACTCTCTCTAGATTCTTTACCTCGTCCCAGCCTTCACATCCACACACACTTTACTGTCACACCCTCAACCTTCCCTAACTCCAAATTCCAGACTCTCCCTGTAGCCTCCCACTTTCATGACATGTTTTAGAGGCCTATCCTGCTTTGGCAAGCTTGGGTTCCAGAGCAGAAAGGACCCCAAGGAAACAGCCTGGAGGTCACAGTCAGCAAGGCGTCCCCTACTGACCACACAGGTTCTGCTCCTTCAATAAGAGATGTCTTAACAGGGAAGCACTACACTTGCATATGATCCTCGTGTGACCAAAACAGACTCACATCCTAATTTACCGCATAGAGTCCTGTCTGCTGCCTGTTTGGGGACAGCTTCAGGATCTGTCAGCAGCATTCGGAAGTTTCCATAATCTGGTATATCGCCGATTATATTTGCTGGAGGTGAATTCTTGAGAACACAGACGGACGTGCACACTCACTGAGCTGTGTCCAGAATGCTTGTTGCCCTCAGAGCTCCTGATAAACCAGACTCACATTCTTCCTCATTTTGCCTTTTACTGCTGTTCTCCTGGACCCACCAGCCCACCGGGGTGAGGCCCCTTTAGTGCTAATGTCTGTGTGCAGTTGGTGTTTTCCTGTCTTGCAAACCCACTGATCAAACTCCACACATTCCTCCCAGGGGCTCATCAGTATTCCTGTCCTGAATGCATGCCCTGCTCGGCTGTTCTGTGCCCCTGCGTCCACCCCCCTCCACCACCTCCCATTTCCATTCCAGTCTCTGAGTCTGTCCTTGGTACCTCTCTACCCAGGAGAGTTACTTTGACTCTTTTCTCCCATAGGAAGATGATTTGAACGGGATCCACATTGTGGCCTTTGCGGAGAGGAGTGATCCAGGTAGGAAGCCCCCTGTCTGCTCCTGTACACCTTAAGCCTGACTGACCTCTCACCTTTGTCAGCCCTCATCCTCTCTTCCGTCACTTCCGGTTTTTCGCAACCGCAAGGTATCGGGCGCCCCCTGGTGGTCGCCTGTTAGGGACGACTCCACCTTCAAATGTGCACACAGCTAACAGAACGTTGAACCTCATTCTGCCTACCTGTCCAGCTAGGAAGAAGCACCAAGTACTGAGGTTGAGGATATTAAAACGTCCTAGCTTTAAGGATGTGTGTGTGTGTGTGTGAGTGTGTGTGTGTGTGTGTGTGTGTGTAAACGTCTGTTCACATTTAAAGTTCATTTACCAATGTTGTGACCTAGCCTATGTGAATCACAATCCTACCTTAAAATAACAATCATGTACCCTTTGGTCTGAAAAATATTGTCTGTGCTTGGGAGACTTCATAGAACATATTCCCCCAAATAATCAGAACTGGGCAAAATGAGCAGCTTATTTCTAAAGTACAAAATGACCCTATAAATGGATATGTAATTTTGTTTTATTTTGGAACTTTTTCCTGGTTTCACTCTTTTTAACACCAGTGGAAAGCGAAGTGCAGGAAAAATTAATTTTGCAGGGGGTAAAATGCCGGGTCCCTTCAGCAGTGCTCTGTGAATAAAGGGTCCCCAAAGGGAGGTGTCAGTGGTGATTCTGAAGTGTGTTTTGGAAGACCTGGGGCAATCCAGAATGTAACCAGAGAAGGCAGGGAACTTCCTTTGGGATGGCTAAGCAGTCAGGCTTTGGACTATGAGGTGCCTGGGCAGGGATTCCCAACCTGATAGTGCCACAAAGCCACCTGGGGCTGACTGAAACAGGACCTTCAGACACCTGTCAGTTCACGGGGCTCTGAGGCAAGTGCTGATGCACCGTGGGGTTGGGAACCACTGTTCCAAGTAAGATACAATTGTGTCGTATTTTCCTAGGACCTCAGCCTCTTATACATTCATAGGGACAGATGAGGAAACAGAGGGTCAGAGAAGTTCAACGAACTGCCCAAGAGGGCACAATGAGCTAGAGGGAGGCCATGAAGGAGGGACAGATTGTTTCATTCATCAATATATACCTGGTTCTCGCCCATGCCTTGGCACATAGTAAGTGCTCAATAAATGCCTGTGGGCAGATGATTAGATAGGCAGATGACTGACTGAGACTGAGCCCAATTCTTCACTGTCTGACCAGTAGTGTTTTGGGTTTTGTTTTGTTTTTTGGTAACACACTATCAGCCTCCATAGTTTCTTACAGGCTGAAACCCAAATGTTTTATCATGCAATTTTAAAAATTGAGATATAATCCACATACCATAAGATTCACCTTTTTAAAGTGTGCAATTCAGCAGTTTCAGTACGTTCAGAAAATTGTGCCAACATCACCACTCTCTAATTCCAGAACATTTTCATCGCCTCAGAAAAATCCCATACCCATTAGCAGCCTTTCCTATTCCCTTCTCCCCCACCCGCTGGCAACCACTTAATGTACTTTCTGTCGCTATGGATTTGACTGTTCTAGATCTTTTATATAAATGGAACCATGTAATACGTGGCCTTTTGTGCTTGGCATCTTTCACTCAGCATAATGTTTTCAGTATTCATCTGTATGTAGTATGTATCAATAATTCATTCCTTTTTAGGGCCAAATAATATTCCATTGTATGAAAAACAAATTTATGCTGCAAATTATCTGAAAGCTTCCTTCCCCCTTTTTGTTTCATTAATTTTTTTGAATGTCCATTGATATCCTAGTTTTCCTATCACTGACTTGCAGATTTGGAAAAACTCTTCAAGAAAATCTAGTCTGCGTCCAAAAAAAAATATACCAGTATGCTTCCAGCTTTTTTCCACAGATTCTGGCCACCCCTCAGCCCCTGGAGAAGAAAATAGCAAAGAAAGCCAGTTGCCCAAGGTTTACAAGCTATAATCAAACAGAATGGGATCCCCTGGTGTTGTGTGAACAGAGATGAGATCGCCATCCGCAGCAGCCTGCTGGCCAGACTCCAGGGGGCTTCCTCCCCCGCCCTCTCCCCCTCCCCTCCCCCTCCCAGGATTACGGGGAGGCCTGTCTGGCTTTCGGGAACAATGGAACAAAGAGGCCTCCGCGAGGTTGCAGGAACCTGTTTGACCGAGATTGCCGCTGTAATGAATCAGGCTCCAGAAACTACTTCCACCTCCTCCCTGCACAAACACCCCTGGGCCCGAAGCTGCGTCTCGCCCCAAAGGAGCCCAAGCTGGGGCTTGTTACTGGGAAGCTGGAAGAAATGCGCTGGGGGTGGGGGGCGGGGGAGGAGCTCACAGCATCTCTCCTTGGTGGGGGGGCGGGGGCGGGGGCGGGGGCGGGGGGCGGGGGTGGGTGCCTGGCCTGCTCAGGGCTGGGAAAGGGAAAGGCTTTTCTGTGAAGTCCCTGAGTCTGCGACTAGTCAGTCATTACTCTCAGGTCACTGATGTGTAACCGGGCCAGAGGGGCCTGGCTGCAGGACTAGGAATTTCATTCCTACCCAGACAGTACTTCCTCATATACCTTGCTTTTGCTAAGAAGCTACATGTGGCCCACCGCACCAACCAAACCCCTCGCCAAAGAAAACGGGTCATACATCCAGGAAAATAATACAGCTCTCCTTAAAGAGCTCACAGTCTGGAGGAACGGTGCTGTGAGCTTTATGGAGGTGGTCCTATTTGGTCCCTAAAGCCACCCTGTGATATATGCAGAATAATTATCATCCCAGCGTCAGATGAGAAAAGTGATTCTTAAGGGTTAAATGACTCGCCCAGATCACTCGATGTACCCGAGCCAAGATTCAAATTCTATCAGGCTTTCTTGACCTCTGAATTCATTCTGATTCTGAGGAAGAAGGTGATGATGATGGTGACTTACTGTATGCTTAGGTGACAGAGCAACCCCACGTGGGAGGTGCTACTTTTATTCCCACTTTACAACTGATGAAGCTGAGGCCCAGAGCCGCTGACTTGCTGGGAAGCAGTGGAGCTGGAATTAAGCTCAGCGCTGTCTGGCTCCCCAGCCGCACCCTGAACCACAAGGCCCCGCCTTGTGTCTGCCGGCCCTTCGGAGTTACTGCCCCTGAGGACGTCTGGGTGACCATTTAGCCCGCCCTCCTTCCTCTCTGCTGTCCTTTACCACCCCCTGCACCGCCAACATTTGAAAGACCCAGAGACGTTCAACGATGCGCTTGAGATCACACGGTTAGAGGCACAGCGGACACAGAAGCTTAGATTTCTGGTTGGCTCCTCTGGTCACTGTCCATCTGACCACACTACCGTCTCCAGGACTTCCCAGCCAGCTGCAGGCTCTGGGCATGCGCAAAGCCGCTGCAAGGAATGGGGGCGGAGGGAGCCGAGAGCGCACGAGAAAGAAGAGGGAGTGAGGAGAGCGAGCGGAGCCATCTGGAAGCTTGAGCGCCCGATCAATGAAGAAAAGTCAAACTTCCTCCCTACTGATGTTTCCAAATTTGGAATCTACGATTTTTCAGCAGCAGCAATAACAAAGGTCTGAGTGACCCGGGTCTCCCAGGGGCTCTCACAGCGGTTCTGACATTCGCAGCCGAGAGCTTGTGTTCAGGGATTGCAGTGACTGCTCTCCGGCCCCGAGCGTAATCGCTAGGTCTCTTCTGCGGTGAGCTCTCATCCTCGTTGCCCCTGCAGGCGGGCCTGGCTGGGAAGGACATTTCCGGCTCTCTGGTCTTGCCCGGTGCCCTGTGGTGCGGCCCGGCTTCCTCTTTCACAGCCTCCTCTCAGCTCCTGCGCTCAGAATGCCGCCAGAGCTACTGTGTGACAGGTTTGAAAATGAACTAGTCTCCCCGGCCGCCCCCAGATGTGTCTGCATCAGGCTGACATCTTCTTTAGAACAGTCGATGAACGGTTCACAAAGCGGCGTTTCTAGGTGAGCGCATGCTGGATGGATATCCTCCAAGGGCACTGGCAATATTAGCACTAACAAGCTGGAAATGCGCGAACCGGCTGCCGTCTGCGCCTGCGGAACACAACCAGTGAGGGGCCCCGAATCAAAGTCTCCAAGCCCTTGTTCCAACCGAGTTTCAACAGCCTCGGTTTCGTTTTTGACACCTGTTGCCTCAGATAGGCAACTGCTTAACTGAGCTTCTAAATTTAAATTTGATTTGTCAAATTTAAAATTCGGTTCTTGCTAAATGCTAAATGTAGTTCCAGCCCTTAAATATCAACACATTTAATCTTCACAGCAGCCCTATTGTATGCAGTAGGTACCGTCACTATCATCTTCCCCGATATGCGGATAGGGAAACAAAGGCATGGAGAAGTTAAGTAGCGTCCCCAGGTCATGTGACTAATCAGCGGTAGAACTGGGATTCCAGCCCAGGCAGTCCAGCCCCAAGCCCAAGCTCTATAACTACCACCTACACTCCTCTGTATTGCAAAGGTGTACCGCTGGACTTTTCCACCAATGCTGGGCCCCGAGAGCTAGGAGACAGAGCGGAGAAGGGGGGCTGTAGTAAGGAGTGTCAGGGTGTTCTGATGTCGCAGGTGCCATCTCGGAACCATGGGGCCCACACAATGTCCCCCGGTTCTGAGCGGATGTCTCACTCTAACAGGTGACTGGGTGACTCGCCTTGTCTGGGAGGTGCTCTCAACCTTGTCCTCCCTAGGCTCCCAAAGGGCCCAGCTTCAGATGCCCTGCCGCAGCTTTCTGAGACTTCCACACTTCCTGAATGGGCCTTTCTGCGAGGGGACCTCTCAGGTGACTGCCCTCCACACCTGTGTGTCCCAGCACCTGGCCCTGGGTCTAATACATGTGGGCACTCAGAACATACCTGCCCGATGAAAAATTGAATCCCTCCCATGAACACTTGAAATGAATTAAATGTTGATGGAGTGGGAAACAAAGACAGAAAATCTTTGCAGTTCCTTCTGCAAATGCCACACATGATAACAGCGGTATCATTATTATCAGTGAGCCCCCAAGGTAATAAGGGAGCTGTTT